CGCCGCTCCAGCGACGCCTGCCCGGAGCGGCTGCACGGACCCGGCCAGGAAAGTTGAGGCATCTGTTGGGCTACAGGTGGTTTCCCCGCTGGGACTTGGGCCCGATGCGCCTCGATGGTAAGAACGCCCTGTTCCTGGCACGTGGGCAACGGCGACCAACACGTGCCACCCAAGCGGGCGCTCCAGAGCGTCCTGGTCTTCGCGCGACAACGCAGTCTCCCAGCACTAGCACGGTGTCCTTACCCCCAAGGGAAACTGAGGCACGGCTACGTCTGTGACTTTGCAATGCTGGCACCACCAGAAAGGATCTGGGAGACACCATGGCCCCCTCTGGCCTCTGAGGGCCAGCTCCTGGCTCCCAAAGGGCATTTAGTGGGGCTGGGATCCTGACATGGTTTCCCAAAGCTCTGGGAGCAAGCGGCATGTGAAGCGAGGCTAAATCCCGCTCTGAGCAAGCAGAGCTGTGAGAGCAAGAGTCTGAGCTCCAGCCACCGTGCAGGTAGAGAAGTCAGTTAAGAACCTCCCACCAGAGTTCAGCACCTCTCCTTGGCACCTCTTCCCATATTCACCTCTCCAGGAGGGTGAACCTGCAGATAACCCCACAAACTGCCCACAGCCCTAACCTTTCTCCAGGTGTTTGCCAGCCAGGGGTGGCTCGGCCCAGGAGCCTTCCACACTGTCCTCACGTTGGATGTTGAAGTTCTCGTAGGAATCCCAGCGGATGAGCGGGTCCGACGTGTTATAGTCCACAGAGACACTGGGCCCATTCTCCAGATGTTCCATGCCTGGGAAGATGAGGGACCATCAGCCAGGGGGAATGCAGAGCCAGTATGGACGGGATGAGGAGAAGAGGCAGAGAGGCAAAAAGGGGGCCAGGGAGGAGAGTCAGCATCATAGAACAAGGGACAAGAGTCATGTATTGACCCTTCTGCAGGATTTGGTACCCTGTGAGGGCAGGGGGGCTTCACTGGACTGGACAGGACAGGCAGTGCAAGGGATTTCCTGATGGACAGACTGAAGAAAGGGGACAGAGACAGGCAGAGAGGGCAGGAGGGTGTCCAGGGCACTGAAAAGGAACAGAGAGGCTAAGGGACAGGGTGAGGGAAAGCGCATCAACACACACGGATAAGGTGTACAGGGCTGGCTCGGGTTTTGGGTTGCCTAGGGATAGGAAGGGGGCCCATAGCAAGCAAGCCTAGTGCTGGAATTGGTTTTCTTAGGGGAAAAGTCTCCATTCCCAGGTGTCCCCTCCCTCTCTTCCAGCCCATCAAGTGTCCTGGAGTGCAGCTTCCCCAGGGAGGTGCTCCCAGAGCCACGCTGGTGCCTGGCCCCAAGGACCCCACCATGATCAGGGGGCTGCAAACAGCAGAGAGGAGCAGCACAGGACAGAAACAGGGCAGCAGGGTGTTGAAGGGGTGGGGAAGAAGGAGAAGGAGAAGGGGGCTGGCATCCAGCCTACCCCTGTGGCAGAGCAGGGAGAGCCAGCCATACCTTGGATCTTCTCGGGGCCATAGGAGAACACAAACTCCACCTTCCCGTACTCAGGGAAGCGGTCATCTGCAAGAGAGAGAGCAGATCAAAGGGACCATCTCTGTCTGTCCCTCTGACAGCATCTCAAACACATCCACCCAACACATGACCACCCCAAACACATCCAGAGCACAAGGCACTGCCCCGGCCAGCTCAAGAACAAGGAGCTGACACCAGATATTCCTGCATGAGGCAGTGCCCCAGCCCTCCACAGCCGAGAGCTGAGCAGGACACAAACACTGGCAATACCAGCATGAAGATACCAGCATCTCAGCTCAGAAACAACCACAGGGCAAACAACTGCACTTTATTGGTGCAAGATCTGGGCAATGAGTTGACCATACCATCTCCTGTCCCTGGGGTCCCACCCTGGGGTCCCACCCTATGCTCCCATGGGTACCCTATGGAGCAGCAGCATTTTCTTCATCTCTACCATGCCAGTGCAAAGAGGTAACACTTGCTCATTGTCAAAGCCCTCCTGGCCCTGGTGCATGAGCAATAAGGGGAAAAGCTGGTCTCAGGGCCAGCCTGCCTAGCACGGATGGTGTTTCCAGGATCTGTGAGCTGCACTGGGGTGGCACTCCCCATCCATGGGTGCCCAGACATCCCAGCAGCGGGAGCAGCATCAGAACTGAAGAAGCACAGAACCAGAAGGGCGTTAACAGGAAGAAGACACTGCAGACACAGGCACATTTACCTCTGAATGCTTCGTCCAGATCCTCCTTGCCAAAGACAATGTCAAGGTCGTGCACAGCGCACGTGTGGAACTGCACCCGAAAAATTACATCCCGGGTTGGACTGCGAAACTTCTTGTGGTAGCATTTCAGCTGTGGAGAGGAGAGGAGCAGAGACGGGCTGTGAACACTTGCTAACCCCTATGAGCCCCCGGAGCTTGGCAGGAGGGGAGCTCCAGGACCCCCAAGCCGAGGCAGGATGCTCCAAGCCCCCTGGTCTCCCAGCTGCCCAGGGCTCCCTGCATGGGAAGCTGGACTGGGGACAAGGCTCCTTACCAAGATATCACCCTTGAGGAGCAGGCCAGGCTCAATGGTGATGCAGATGCCCGTCTGGCTGTCCCCTTGCACATTGCTGTGGAGAGGGATGGCAGGAGGACATATGGCACAATGCAGAAACCTGGCAGCAGGCAGCAGGGAGCAGCTGCGAGAGCTCCCCCCGCAGCATCCGTCACTGCCTCCACCAGCCCTTTCCACCCAAAATTAGCTGGGAAAAGCCCTAAGGAAAGGCTGAAAGCATGGAAATGCCTTCCCTGAGGATAGAGGAGGGTCCCATCCCCGGCCCCAAGAGCACCTCCATCCCAGATGGGAGGCAGACAGAAGAGAGAAACTGAGGCACAGAGCCAGTTTGGTAAGGGTGCCAAAACCCTGTGTCAGATCAGGCTTTGAGCAACAGGACTAGTTTACCATACCATCCACCCTGCTCCTGTGTTTCAAGCAGGATAGCGAGGAAGAAGCCTTAGGGACCTCAGACCTCTCCTCTCTTCCCTGCCTCAGTTTCCCTGCCGAAAGTGCTCCTTCCCCAGCACGCCAGGGAGCTGCCTGCGAGCTGTGGCGTCAGCGTCTGGCAATCGGGCACAAGCGTGGGGGGCGAGGGAAGAAGGGAGTTGGATTTCACAGGCAAGATAAACCTGGAGTTTATTACCAGCGTCCCATAAACAGTCTATTAAAAGCTGGAAGGCGAGGCCAGGATGGCAGTAAATCTCGGCTAACGGGGACGCCCAGCCAGCGGGAAAGGGAGTTCCCAGTTCAGGGGGGTTAAGATGGGAATACCCCAAAGATGAGGGCACAGACACAGGCTGGACAGGGGAGCAGAGGGATTCAGTCTGGGATATAGCACAAGGACTGTGTCTGGAGACACCAGCTCCTACTTTGCCTTTGACAGCACTAAAAATCCTGGAGACCCCAGTGCGGGGTGCAAACCCAGTCCAGGGTGCTCGGACTGGAGAAAGGTGTCAGGGTAAATTGTGTGGAGGCTAAACTGGGGAGGGAGGTCCCTTTCAGAAGGAAAAAAAATAGACAATTTAAAGGGGCTCTGGGGAAGATGCTCTTCAATACCCTTTTTCCCCAATTTACTCTGTAACTCCAAGAATGGGGATACAGGCTCAGGGGCAGGCAGGTTTTAGTCCTATCAGGTACATGATGGTACCCAGGAGAGGAAGAACCAGCACGGGGAGAGCATATCTTGGGAGAGAGTGCTTGTGAGGGACAGGGATACAAGGGGTTTTATGTCTTGGTCAAAGCTTTCCTGGCAGGAGGAGCAGCTCTTTGGCCAGAGAGAAAGGAAACGCCTCCATCCCCATCGGAGGGAGAGGTGTCCCCTGCGCCCTGCCTGGGACAACCAGCCCCAGGCTCCCTCTGCTGATGCACAGAGTCACTACAGCCCTCCCAGCACGAGCGCCCAGCGCAGTCCGGGATAGCCCAGCACGGCCAGGCATTGCTTCCAAGGGAGGTGGATCCCCCATTTCAATTCCCACCAGCCCTGGCACAACAAACGGACTGGGCATGGGACAATGGGAACCACCAGGGACTTGGACCTGAATCTCCATCTGCCCCCTCACAAAAGCCCCCCTGAGCTGCGTAATAAGCCCAGGACCCCATGCAGAGAGGAGAGAGAGAAGATGATAGTTACTAGATCCCCGAGGTGTAGACGGGCTGCATGGCCTGGTAGATTTTCAGGAAGGGCCGACAACCTGGAAGACATCAATGAAGGGAGAGAAGGCGCCTCGTTAGCCGGCAGGGCGGAGGGGCCAGGGCAGGGATTAGTCACGGGGTAGCAATCCAAACAGCGCGGGAGCCAAGGCAAACAGCCGCTCCCCACCTCGCCAGCGCGGCGAGGCAGCCAGCCGCGGGCAACATCTGGAACGGCTTCGGGGAGCCGAGATGGGCCGAAAGGGACGCGCCCCGGCCGGACAGGGCTGCACGGGGAGAAGCCAGGACCCCCTGCAGCCCAGCCAGGTCCAACAGGACCTGTGCCAAAGGTGGTGGAGATAGGATAGAGCAAAATGCCTCCTCCCCCTGCAGCCCTGACTGCTGCGTTGCAAACCTCAGCACAGGAGCAGTGCTGCACAGGGAGGCATCTCTGTGGGAAAAGACTCATGCCCTGCTACTAGGAATAATCAGTCCCAGAGGTGGAAAGGGAGGAAAGAATTCAAATTCCCCACCAAAAAAAAAGGAAAAAAAAACTACAAAAACAAACAACCCTCTTAGCAAACAAACAGTCCACCAGCATGGGGTAGTGCTTAGGGCATGGGAACCAGAGCAGAGGGAAGGCTCAGGGGCACCTACCGCCTTTCGACTCGAAGTTGGGGATGCCATGCATGATGACGTGGTGGAGGAAGAGGGGTTTGTTGTTCATCTTGATAGTGCCGGACAGGAGGCCACTGAAGTAATGGATGTACCTAGAGCAGGGACAGGCAGGTCAGGGCAGGACCCACACTGGAGCAACCCCATCAGCTTGCACCCAACCTCTCTGCAGAGCCCCGAGGCCAAGGGGGAAGAAACGAGGCTGCGATGCAGACCACGACCCACCTCTTCTGTGAGGGCTGTCCCACCGGCACCACCTTGTCCTCGTAGAAGCGCTTCATGGCAAACCTGTCCAGAGCCTGGTCCGCACTGCAGGAATGAAAGAGCACATGAGGGGATGGAAGCCTTCAGCACCACCCTGGGCCGCACCAGGGGCTGCAGGAGCCTGGGCGAGGTGGGTGGCGGGCAGCAGGGAAACAGGCAGCCCTGGAGTCCCTCTCACCTGGCCGAGATGTTGCTGTAGTGCATGTAGGCAGCCACGACAACCCCCAGCCGGCCACGGTTCCCCTGTGGGCAAACAGCAAAGGGGCATCAGGGAGGCAGTAACGCGCGTGAGCACCAGGCAGGGCTGCCCTGCGCGCGGGCACACGCCAGCCTCCACATACCCACCGCACACAGCAGCTCCTACGTGCACACACCGCACACGCGCCAACCTCTGCCTACACCCACATCATCCCTTACACACAAACATTGCCCACACGCTGACCCCCTGCATACATCAGACCAACCATTTCATACACATCAAACATGCACCCAACAACCCCATGGAGACACTGAGCCACCCCAACCCCTACAGGCACATCATGCCACACACAGCCCTATATCCGCATACCTTCCACAGGTGCACCCCAACCCTTACATAGATACACCAAACTAAACAGATTCCCTGCTCCTGCCGACCCATGTGGCTGCTCAGCTTTGTCGCCCCCACCAATGCCCCATGCACCCTTGGCTCCCCATCCTCCTGCACCCCTGGAACGCGACGGGGCCCAGCGCACCTTGTTGTGCAGCACCACCACGTTGTGAGCCGTCGCGTTGAGCCACGTGTCCATGGCTTTGCAAATGCTGCAGATCTTCTCCAGCGCAGGGGTGTGCAGGTCAGGCCAGCCAAAATCCAGCACCTGTGCAGAACGGGGAGCAGCAGGGCTGGGGGGTCATGTCCATGCCTTGTTCTGCCCCTGCCAGAGCCCCTCTAACCAACCGGTTTGCAAAGCTCAGAGCATGTTTCCAGGGTGGGCAATGCCACCACATCACCCTGAACTGCCCCTCAAAGCCTCTCCACAAAATCTGCATCCCATTGCCCAGACCCCAGACAAGCGGGAGGAAGGTAAGGCCCAGATCTCCGACCCCTGGGTCACTCACAGCTTGGCTGCCCAGAATTCCCCAACATTTGCCTGGACAGGAATGATGCTTTAGGGGAAATCAAGGGGAAGCCACCAGGAGGGCTCCAGCAGCTAGGTTTGCACCAGTTAGCATTGAGCTGAGACCCGGCAAACTCATCAGGAAGTCCCACGCTTCCAGTAGGCTGCTAACCCCTTGGCCCTACACCAGTGAGGCGCAGTAAATAGAGTGGATTTTCCTCCCTGACCAGCTTGCAAGAGGGAGCATGGCCCAGAGTCAGCTCTATCCACCCCTTCCTGAGCTCTCCACCCCCTCTCCCAGCCCCACTGCTCACCACAAGTGCAACCCACCTTGGGGTGAAGTTTGTTGATGTCATGTCTGCTCTCGGAGAGATTGAAAAGCTGTGGGCAAGAGAAAAGCCAGTGTCAGGGGACACCTTTCTCCCCTGGCCACTGTCACCCTTCCACCCCTTCCCCACCCCAAAGCCTCCCCAAACTCCCAGGAGAAGCTTCCTGGGGCATGTTAACATGGGCAATGCCTCACAGAGCACAACAGCAGCCCAAAATTCCCACAGTCCAAGAGAGACTGGAAAACTTCAAAGGAGAAAAAAGCATTCCCTGTGCAAAGACCCCTCCTCTCCGGCTTGGAGACCAGCAGAAGGTAAAGATACAGGACCCAGCACCCTGTCCCCAGCCTTGCCAGCATGGGCTGTGTCCCTCACCACGTAGCTGTCCCCGTGCTTGGATCTCAGCATGTGGGCCACCTCGCGGAGGTTGCTGCGGAAGCTGTGCTCCTCGGCCGCGCTGGGGTAGGAGACGGCGATGATCCGCTCCGTGATGTACACCAGGTCCAGCTCGCAGCTGCTCTCCATGGCCGCAGTCACGCTCATGCTCCTGAGCAAGAGGGGGGCCATGAGCAGGGCGCAGCGTGGAGAAGGGGACATGGGTGACCATCCCAGTCCTGCCCAACTTCGGGTTAGGTGACCCAGGCTGGGACATGTGCGCACGCACGGCAGGGCACGGCTGCCCGCAGCCTTTCCTGATCCAAGGGCAGGCTGCAGACGGTGTTTCCCTGGCCTTGGAGAACGACCCTGCCTCAAGACAGCCCTGCCAAGGTGCAGCTTTGGGGACCCTGAGGTGGGGACAGTGTGTTAGCAGCCAACCTGGCCCATACGGGGAAGGAAGTATCAGGTGGGGCCAGGCAGGGCAGAGCTTGTCACCAGAGGGGGAAACTGAGTCACACAAGCCACCCCGTGTGCAGCCCCTCTACTATGAGCTCCAGCCAGCAGGAACACCGTCCCTGCCGCGCACTGTCCCCACGCGACCCCTGCAGCAGGAGAGGCCTCTCCACATGGAGCTGCCGTCCCGGACAGGGGCAGGCTGAGGTTTACCTGGACGTTTTGTGGCGTGACTGCCCACTCCTGGGGGATTTGGTGGCATCCTAGAGGATGAGAGAGGAAAAACGAGTCACTGCCACAGGACCCAGCCAGCAGCACCGTCAGCAGCTGCATCGTCCCTCCTTGTCCCCAAAACCCACATGCCACCGCTCCAGGAGTCCCCACAGCACCATGGACAGACCACATCGGAAAGGAACCTTTCTGTTTGCCTTCCCTGCCCCTGCCAGCCATGCAAACACGGCACAAGATGCCAGATGTCACGACAGCACCTAGCGTCACAACAGTCCTGGTAGAGCCAGGTGCTGCAGGAGCATCTCCTCTCCACGCACTGCGCTACGCACCACAGCATCCCCAAAGCGTTGTTGTCCCCAAAACACATCATGGTCCTGCCGAGCAACCTGGCGGCACTGAAGACCCTGGTGATACTGCCCTTCTCCTACAGCCAGGGGACTATAGCACCTAGTGTCACAACAGTCCTGGTAGAGCCAGGTGCTGCTGGAGCATCTCCTCTCCACGCACTGCGCTACGCACCACAGCATCCCCAAAGCGTTGTTGTCCCCCATCATGGTCCTGCCGAGCAACCTGGCAGCACTGAAGACCCTGGTGATGCTGCCTTTCTCCTACAGACAGGGGACTACGGGGACCAAAACCAGGGGACACAGCTGAGCACTAACACCGCCACGGAGGGCCTTTGAGGAGGGCATGGCTCGCAGGGAGACAGTCTCAAGCATGTCTCGAATTCCTCTGGTCTCAGCCAGCTGTTGTGCACGCACACCTGGCCTGATAGAGCAGCTTTGTACCTGCCTGGCACCGGCAGAAGGGGCAGGTTACGGCCGGGCAAGCAACGCCCGCTCCCGAGCAGCGCCGAGGAGCCAGCGAGGCACCAGGGTTTGCTTTGGCCGGGGCTCCGCGGAGCCCAGCGCCGGGAGGAAATGTTTGAGCTCTCAGAGCAGGAAACTTCTATTTATGCATGTTCCCCGGCCTCAAGAATTTCATCTGCAGCCGGTTTGTTCGGTGACTTTGTGACCTCACCCGAAAAACAAAGCCGAGTTTCCAAAAAAAACCACTAAGAGAAAACATACTCACACCTCATTAGTTTTAGTATCTCCAGCTAACAAGCAGGAGTAGTTTAAAGGCTCGTCTTGCACGAGCAGCACACCCCAATCCCCCAGAAGGATCCAATCCCGGTTAAATCAGGTACGTGCTTCCCAGCCAGCTCCCACGGGCACCTTTTCCACCCGTGGAGCAGCCCTGGAGTTGCAGGACTTGCTGCTGCCGCAGTGAGTCTCACACCCAGCACACGGAGGACAAGGTGGGACAGATTTCCACGACATCCTTCCCCCACCATCTCTCACCCGTCATGGTCCCCAGCTCTGTGCTCGACCGTGCCGTGCGCAGCCAGTGTCCCCTGCCGCAGGGGGCTCCCCCCTTTCCACCCGCCCCGTGTTCCCCTCTCAAGGTCAGGCTGCCCAGCGGAGCAGAGCCATGAAGCAGTGGAGCTCGGCAGCGCTGGGGGAGCCGATCCGGTCGGGATCCTTCCAGGCCAACCACCTCCCTGCCCAAGTGAGAGCCGTGCCAGGAGACGGCGGCCACGGGCAAGGGCCGGGGGGTCTGATGCCAGCAACGTTCCCCCTTCTCTGCAGTGCCCCAAATCCCCCACTCAGCCCAGAGGTCTCTCAGACAGCTGTGAGGCAAAAATGAGTTAAAAAAGAGCAAAAAGGGAGGGCAACACTGCCACAGGCAGAGTGGGGGATACAACAGAGCAACCGTGAACCCAAACACAGGTTTGGGGTGCCCAGGAGAGGCTCCCTGCCCGGCTGTGCTCTGCCTAAGCCCTTGCAGTGGGCACATGCAGGGTCACCAACACGTCTCCAAGCAGCCAGTGGAGCCCCGCAAGCCCCCTTTACCCCTCAGCAGCCCCCTCGCAGGGCAGAGATGACGAGGGGAGCTGGCAG